AATAATATCAGTCCCTCCCAAAATAGGGTTAAGCATATTGGGTTAGTATATTGGGTTAAGCATATTGGGTTGTGGTGTTGGATTAGCCTAATTGGACTCAAAATAGGCTAATATCAAGAGAATATTTAATGGTCAAAAGATGGGCCTTGGGCCTTGGGGCTCTTGGGGTCTTCCTGATTAATTAAATAATTTTTAATTACGAAATCAATTTTTATTCTTTATTTTCATTAAATTCGTAATCACTGAATGACAGGTATTTGGAAGTTATTTTCGGTTTTGACAGTTTTTAACTGTCATAATCAATACCTATAAATACATGATTTCTGTCATTTGTGAGGGGTTACAGAAACAATCACCACAAACTCTCTTCAAAATTCGTTCTTCCTGAAGATGAAGGGGACATAGAAATTTCGACAGATTCAAGAGTACTTATTGGATTGATTGTTGTATCCTCTAGACAGATCCCTACCAGGGAAAATTTCTGTCCTAGGACACTGCAATTTGCAGGCTTCAATCTACATAATTTCGTTTTTTGTGTTTCTGTTGTAAACATAAATCTTCAAGTATGTTTTCTGTAAACTAATTCTTGTATATTACATATATATATATTTCAATTTCGTTTGTTTTATTTCTATTGCTCTTGTTGATTGTATACATCTGTCATAACAATCTAAGACAGAAATTAAAGAGTGAAAAATGGATCAAAATTCCATCATCAAAACACATGTGGAAAAGCCTGAGAAATTCAAAGGCTCAGATTTTCGGAGATGGCAACAAAAGATGTTGTTTTATCTAACAACTATTCATGTTTCCAATGTTCTCACTGATGATTCTCCCTCTCCTCCCACTGGGACAACTACTGCAGAAGGAGTAACACCACCCACTACAGCCCAATTGGCAGAACACCAAAGGGCTGTGGAAACTTGGAACACAAATGAATATAATTGCAGAAATTATATTCTAAATGCCCTGGATGATTCCCTCTATGATATCTACTCTACCATCACTACTGCAAGAGAGATATGGGAATCACTGGAAAAGAAATATAAAACAGAAGTGGCATGTTCCAAGAAATTCGTGATTGGAAAGTTCATGAATTTCAAGATGGTGGATACCAAATCTGTCCTCAAACAAGTGGAGGAAATTCAAGTCATTGCACATGATCTTGAAGTTGAAGGTATGGGTATAAACTCTAACTTTCTTGTTGGTTCAATCATTGAAAAACTTCCTCCTTCTTGGAAGAATTTCAAATTATATCTTAAACACTTAACTGATGACATGAGTTTTGAGCAACTTGTGTTGAGAATTCGTGTGGAAGAAGATAACAGATTGAATGAGAAGGCAGATGCAAATTCCTTGGAACCAAGTGCAAACTTTGTTGGAGAAGCAAGTACTTCAAAGACAAAAAACAACAACAAGAAAGGGAAGCAAGGCTCCAAAAACTCTTCCAAAGATGGCAAAAATCATGGCCCTAACAAGAAGAATTTCAAGAAGAATTCTGGTCCATGCTATGTTTGTGGCAAAATTGGACACAAGGCCAAAGATTGCAGATTCAGGAGGGGTCAAGGAGGAAACAATGGAGGAAATAATGGAGGAAACAATGGAGGAAACAATGGAAACAATGGTGGTAATTCTGGTGGAGGAAATTCTGGTCAAGCCAACATGGTTGAATCACCAAATCAGTTTGTTGCTGTGATTCAAACCAACATGGTTAGCAATTGTGTGGATTGGTGGATTGATACTGGAGCCACAAGGCACATTTGCAACTCCCGAACTATGTTTTCTACATACCAGAAAGTCTCGGATTCTGAACCAATGTTTATGGGGAATGGCTCTACTGCAAAAGTTGAAGGAAAGGGAAAAGTGAAGCTGCAACTGACTTCTGAAAAAGAACTCATTTTAAGTGATGTTTTGCATGTTCCTGAAATTACTAAGAACTTGATTTCTGGTCCTATTCTTAGTAACAAAGGTTTCAAACTTGTATTTGAGTCTGATAAGTTTGTTCTCACCAAGGGTGGGGTGTATGTTGGAAAAGGATACCTTAGTGAGGGTCTCTTCAAAGTCAGTGTCTTACCTTTGTACTATGGTGTTGAAACACCAAACAATGATGTAACCAATGTTAATGCTAATACAATAATGGGGACTACTAGCCCCTCTTCTATGTATATGCATGATCCTTCAATTTTGTGGCATTCTCGTTTGGGACATGTCAATTTTCATTCTATTCAAAGAATGGCAAAACTTGGCATGTTACCAAAATGTACATTAGATAAAAACAGAAAATGTGAGGTTTGTGTAGAATCAAAATTTTCACAACATCCTCATAAATCAGTTGAAAAATCTAATGAAATACTTGGCTTAATCCACTCTGATTTATGTGATTTTAGAGCAACACCTACAAGAGGAGGAAAGAATTATTATATATCTTTTATTGATGATTGCAGCAAGTATTGTTATATTTTTCTTGTTAAATACCAAAGATGAAGCCTTGAATTATTTTAAGAATTACAAGGCTGAAGTTGAAAATCAACTTGACAAAAAGATCAAAATTCTAAGGTCTGATCGAGGAGGCGAATATGAATCCAAAGACTTTGCTGAATTTTGTTCCTTAAATGGTATTATACATCAAACAACTGCTCCATATACTCCTCAGCAAAATGGAGTGGCAGAAAGGAAGAATAGAACATTGAAAAACATGATTAATTCAATGTTAATTACTTCTGGAGCACCACATAATCTGTGGGGAGAAGCATGTCTTGCAGCAAACTCAATTCTTAATAGAATTCCTTATAAAAAGAGTGATAAATCACCCTATCATCAGTGGAAAGGGAGGTTACCCTCTTATAAAAGGATGAAAGTGTGGGGTTGTCTTGCTAAGGTACAAGTACCTCTTCCTAAGAGGACTAAACTTGGACCAAAAACCATAGATTGCATCTATCTTGGCCCTGCCATGAATAGTGCAGCCTATAGGTTTCTTGTGTTTAAATCACATGTTGATGATATCCATAACCAAACCATCATGGAATCAGCAGAGGCTGAATTCTTTGAAAATATTTTTCCTTTTAAGGATAAAGGGAAAGAGGTTACCTACTCTAGGAAAAGCCTCTAGATTATGGACTAAATGATACCATTCCAGACAGAAGTTTACAATCAAATGAAGAGAGTTCTTCTAAGGTTCAAGAAGAGAACTTAGAACCCAGAAGAAGCAAACGGGGCAAAATTGCCAAAGATTTTGGACCTGATTACATGACCTATGTAGTGAATAAAGAACCACAAACTTATAAGGATGCTATGGATTCTTCTGAAGCTCCCTTTTGGAAAGAGGCAATCAAAAGTGAGATCGATTCCATTGTGCAGAATAACACTTGGAAATTGGTAGATTTGCCACCTGGGCAAAAACCAATTGGGCACAAATGGATTTTCAAGAAGAAGTTTAGACCTGATGGTACCATTGAGAAGTACAAAGCTCGTTTAGTAGCTAAAGGGTATCGTCAAAAAGAGGGTCAAGACTTCTTTGACACCTATTCACCTGTTACAAGAATTACATCAATTCGCACATTAGTAGCAATTGCAGCCATTCACAATTTGGAAATACACCAAATGGATGTGAAAACTGCCTTCTTGTATGGTGAACTAGATGAAGAGATATATATGAACCAACCTGAAGGGTTTGTGGTTAAGGGTCAAGAAAGCAAAGTTTGTAAGTTAGTTAGATCACTTTATGGACTAAAACAGGCTCCAAAGCAATGGCATGAGAAGTTTGACAACACATTACTCTCTAATGGATTTAGAATTAATGAATGTGATAAATGTGTTTATGTCAAACAATACAAGAATGCTTGTGTTATCATATGCTTGTATGTGGATGATATGCTTATAATGGGTACTAATTTGGATGTGATCAATCAAACCAAGAAAATGCTACACTCCTCCTTTTCCATGAAAGACTTGGGAGTAGTAGATGTGATCCTTGGTGTAAGAGTTCAAAGAAGATCAGATGGTTATACTCTTACTCAGTCCCATTATATTGAAAGTGTACTTAAGAAGTTTGGACACTATGATGACAAGCCGGTAGTCACCCCTTTTGATCCTTCAAGTCATCTTAAGAAGAATAAAGGTGATAGTGTAGCTCAGTTAGAATATACTCAAGTTCTTGGTAGCTTAATGTATATTATGAATTGTACTCGACCGGACTTGGCTTATAGTGTAAGTAGATTGAGCCGCTACTCCCACAATCCTGGGAAAGATCATTGGTATGCATTAGTGAGAGTGCTTAGATATTTAAAGCATACAATGAATTATGGATTGCATTACACGAGATATCCTCCTGTTCTTGAAGGGTATTGTGATGCAAATTGGATTTCCAATACCTCAGAGGCAAAATCCACAAGTGGATATGTGTTCACTCTTGGTGGAGCTGCTATCTCTTGGAAATCATCTAAGCAAACTGTGAATACTCGTTCAACAATGGAAGCAGAGTTTGTTGCTTTAGACAAAGCTGCTGAAGAAGCAGAATGGCTTAAAAGCTTCCTAGAAGGTATTCCTCTGTGGCCTCAACCTGTTACTGCCATTGGCATACATTGTGATAGTATGGCTGCTCTTACTAGAGCACAAAGTCAGATATACAATGGCAAGTCGAGACACATTAGGCGCAGACATATTACAATAAGAGACTTGCTGAAGAATGGAATCATTTCCATTAGTTACATAAAGTCAAAGGAAAATATAGCTGATCCCTTGACAAAAGGCCTTAGTAGAGAGCAAGTTCTCTTCACATCGAGGGGAATGGGCTTAAAGCCAACACAATGAGTCACCACCTGGCGGAAACCTAACCTAGCAACATTGGAGATCCCATGGTCTAGGTTCAATAGGACAACTAGTTGGGGAAGACTCAAAGAAGAACTAACACAAAGGTATGCTCACTCCTATGATATTTATTTTGTGTTTTTCCGTTGATGATATAGGGATGAATTCTTTATTCTTAATAATGCTGATAGCTTTTATAGTGGAATAAGTACGGATTGTTCCAGATTAGTATTACCTATGTGAGATGGATGTGAGATCGCATCTTTGGGAGCTGATATGGCTAAGCTCTCTAAAAGTCTCATGAAGAAAGGATCTTTCATGACTGAAATGAACACAACGGTAAGAAATGATATATGCTTAGATATGATATGTGTGATACTTCTTGTATTATTCTACTATAAAAAGTGGTTAGTTCAAGAATCTAGTTCACTACCCACAAAGTAGATCCAAGTAGTACTCACTATGAAAGGCTCAAGTTTTACAACACCTATTAAGATGCATGTCATATCTTACTTCCCTTATTTGAATATCAAAGTTCACTTATTTTCTATTCAAATGTGGGGTATTCTTCGAGTTTGAATAGAAAATGTGGGGTATTGTTGGAACTTTGCTTAACAATGTGGGACTTATCCCACATTGGTGGAAGAGAAAACTTTCTCCCACCTTATATGTCTTGTCCCACTCATTTAATTAAATGGGTCAAGTAATGGGTTAAGCATATTGGGCTTGGGTTGTGGTGTTGGATTAGCCTAATTGGACTCAAAATAGGCTAATATCAAGAGAATATTTAATGGTCAAAAGATTGGCCTTGGGCCTTGGGGTCTTCCTGATTAATTAAATAATTTTTAATTACGAAATTAATTTTTATTCTTTATTTTCATTAAATTCGTAATCACTGAATGACAGGTATTTGGAAGTTATTTTCGGTTTTGACAGTTTTTAACTGTCATAATCAATACCTATAAATACATGATTTCTGTCATTTGTGAGGGGTTACAGAAACAATCACCACAAACTCTCTTCAAAATTCGTTCTTCCTGAAGATGAAGGGGACATAGAAATTTCGACAGATTCAAGAGTACTTCTTGGATTGATTGTTGTATCCTCTAGACAGATCCCTACCAGGAAAAATTTCTGTCCTAGGACACTGCAATTTGCAGGCCTCAATCTACATAATTTTGTTTTTTGTGTTTCTGTTGTAAACATAAATCTTCAAGTATGTTTTCTGTAAACTGATTCTTGTATATTACATATATATATTTCAATTTCGTTTGTTTTATTTCTATTGCTCTTGTTGATTGTATACATCTGTCATAACAAAAACTACCCCATAACTTGCGAGAATTGCTACCAAAAATCATAAAGTTACCTGTATCATTCATAAAACCTGATGCAACAGCGGAAATGGACCCAGATCTCCATACCTCTGTACCCTGAGGATCAGTGAGTACGACTCCACTTGCACGAAGTAGCTCAACTTTGGATCCTGTAGGCACCATCCGACCTTCTTCTGGATACCAGAAAATGGTCTTATCAGGTATCTTTTCGTACCATATGGATACCAAGAAATTATCGTTCCCTTGAACTTGTTTGAACCCAAAGGCAAATTCACCAGAAGATGAAAGCCATGGTTTCACATCGGATGTGGTTGTGAGTGATGCACCAACAGATACAGAACCATCATTCTGTGCAGCTATGAAACGTAGGAAAATAGTTAGAAACACCAGACGCAATTGGGCTGGAGCCATATGAAGTTGGTGGAATGATGGATAACAATGATGAAACGAGGATTTAATGAATAATAAGATAGTTGCTTTATGGTTAACAGAAAGACTTTTGGAGTCTACAAATAATGCAACGTCTCTTGTGGGCAGAAAATAAAGATTGGTCTTTATGGTTCCTTTCCTTGTATTGACAATTGTTGACCATTTCCATTGATTTTTCATTAGTGTCATGTCAATCAACGGAAACCCATATACACGGCAGGAGATATACAATCAACCAACTGGATAATTCAATGACAATTCAATTGAAGAAGAATTGATTCCTAATAAAGGGCTTCTAGTCCACCGATATCCGATGTTTTTTCTCTTTGAGGTTGAGGGTTCAAGTCTCTCGTAGATATAGATGGATTTAAAGAGTCGTTCTGAAGTAATTTAGATTTCATACCACCTTTTTTGTATTTCATGCATGTGTGAATTTTTTTTTTTTTAGTTTTCGGTTTTTTCAATATAACTTTCTATAAATTTACGAGATAAGTAGTCAAACTTCACTCAATATAACTTTATTTCAATATAGCTTTATCTGTAATGCGGTTTTTTGTTTAATTTATTTTTAATATTATTTAAAAAAAATTGTTTTAAATTAGCAAAAGTTTTTTTTTAGAAAAAATGTTATGTTTTCTTTTCTTTTCTTTTTTATATATATTTTTTAATTTAATTAAATAAAAGTTAGTGATGTTACAAGTGGGTTGGGAAAGATACGTTGCAAGAAAAAAGGGAATTAACGGCAAAAAAAGTTGCCGATAAAGGCTAGCAATGTCGCCGGTAAAGGTTATAGCGGCGGCAGTTCGCTGGTAAAAGTCGTCGCTACTGCTTTGTCTCTATTGCCCAAAATGTCACCGGTATATATATATATATATATATATATATATATATATATATTTATGAATTAAACGTAATTAATTTAACTATAAATCAAACCAAACTAGTAAACTTTGATAAGAACTTTAATTGCGAAGAAAGAATATTTAGAGAGCATATGAAAGTTATATCTCTTATAATTTTTGGTGTGTCTCATTCTTTACAATGGAGGAGTTTTTATACTACAAATTTTACTAACATATAATTGTAACTAGTTAGAAATGTTGACAAATTTACCATGCACCAATTATTATGTCATCCACCAATTATTTACAACACCACCAATTATTTACAACACTCCCCCTTGGATGACATCATTTTAGCGTTCAACTTTGATGTACTGCCTCATTAAAAACCTTGCTAAAGAAAACCCAGTGGGAAAAAAACTTTAGCGAAGGGAAAAATAGTGTAGTGTATAGTTGACTCCCCCTTATTTGGACATCCGTCACATTATATTCTATGCACATGTCGCATTCCGATGCCATGGACATGTTTCCTGAAGATTGTAGTAGGAAGTACCTTCGTAAAAAGGTCTGCTGCATTGTTACTGGATTGAACATATTTGATTTCAACTTGATGGTTCTTTATAAGCTGTTGAGTGTACTCAAAAAACTTTGGAGGTATATGTTTTGTCCTGTCGCTCTTGATATATCCCTCTTTCATTTGAGTGACACATGCTGAGTTATCTTCATAAATTAAAGTTGGACATATATCCTTTTCAAGTCCACATGAAGTTAAAACTAGTTGTGTCATCGATCTTAACCATGTACATTCTCTACTAGCTTCATTTAGTGCAATTACTTCAGCATGATTTGAGGATGTGGCAACAAGTGTTTCCTTTTGAGAACGCCAGGAAATTGCAGTACCTCCATTCATGAATACATATCCAGTTTGAGATCTAGCTTTATGAGGATCAGACAAATAACCTGCATCTGCATAACCAATCAAGCCTTGTTTTGAATTGTTAGGGTAAAATAACCCTAAATCACTAGTTCCTCGAAGGTATCGAAAAATATGTTTGATTCCATTCCAATGTCTTTTTGTTGGGGCTGAACTAAACCTTGCTAGCAAGTTTACAGCGAAAGAAATGTCAGGTCTAGTACAATTGGTAAGATACATAGGAGCTCCAATTGCATTTAGATATGGTACTTCTGAACCAAGGACTTCTTCATTTTCTTCGCATGGACGAAATGGATCCTTGTCAATATTTAATGATCTAACAACCATTGGAGTGCTTAAAGGATTTGCATTTCCATATTGAAACGTTTCAAGACTCTTTCTGTGTAATTTGATTGATGCACAAGTATTCCGTTAGGCATATGCTCAATCTGTAAACCAAGACAATATTTGGTTTTTTCCAAGATCTTTCATTTTAAATTCTTTCTTTAAAAGTTCAATCACTTCAAGGATTTCTTTATTCGTTCCAATGATTTTTTAGATCATCAACATAGACGGCTATGATCACATATCCAGATGTTATTTCCTTAATAAATACACATGGACAAATAGTGTTATTTTTATAACCTTTACTTGTCAAATAATCGCTTAAACGATTGTACCACATGCGCCCAGATTGCTTTAACCCATACAAAGATCTTTTTAATTTTATAGAATACATTTCTTTGGGTTTTGCACTTAACGCTTCAGGCATTTTAAATCCTTCAGGGATTTTCATATAGATATCACTATCAAGTGATCCATACAAGTAAGCTGTAACAACATCCATAAGACACATCTCTAAATTTTTAGATACTGTCAAGCTGATTAAATATCTGAAAGTGGTTGCATCCATTACCGGTGAATAAGTTTCTTCATAATCAATTCCAGGTCTTTGAGAGAAACCTTGAGCAACAAGCCTGGCCTTGTATCTTACAATTTCGTCTTTCTCATTTCTTTTTCGTATGAAGATCCATCTATATCCTAATGGTTTCACAAGTTCAAGTGTGAGGATAATGTTCCCAAATCCCTTTCTCTTGTTAAGAGAATTTAATTCAACTTGCATAGTTTCCTTCCATTTAGCCTAATCATTTCTTCTTTGACATTCAATGACAAATTGTGGTTCGGGATCATCATTCATAATATCACATGCAACTGAATAAGAAAAATATTGCACCTATTTTGTCAGTTTCATTTTGGTCACATATTCTATTTGTCTGACCATAATTTAATGCATCATCCTCCTTTCTTGGGGGAATTTGAATAATTCGTGTTTCTCCAGGAACACTTTCATCGTGATCTAGAGCATTTTCTGCTCCTCTTCTTTTTCGTGGGTTCTTATCCTTAGAACCAAATGGCCTTCCACGCTTCAGGCGTGTTTTAGACTCTTGAGTGACTTTATCATCAGATTGTCCATGTGGAATGTCAATTCGAGCTGGAACATTGACAGCTGGTATATATGATTTAGTCGCCCTTTTTGTGTTAGTAAATGCATCAGGTAATTGATTTGCCATTTCTTGGAAATGCATTATCTTTTGAACTTCCATGTCACATTGCTTTGTGCGAGGGTCAAGATATGATAAAGTAGGCTCATGCCATGACACATCCTTTTCCAGAATCTTCTTTTCTCCACCTAATGATGGGAAATTTGCCTCATCAAATTGACAATCTGCTAGGCGTGCTGTGAAAACATCACATGTTAATGGTTCAAGATATCTTATAATAGAGATTGACTCATAACCAACATATATTCACAACCTTCTTTGAGGACCCATTTTTGTCCGTTGAGGTGGTGCAATAGGGACATATACTGCACACCCAAAAATTCTCAAATGGGATATATTTGGCTCTTGACCGAAAGCAAGTTATAGTGGAGAATATACATGATATGAACTTGGTCTCATGCGTATCAATGATCCAGCATGTAAGATTGCATCGCCCCAAACAGAAACAGGAAGTTTGGTCCTCATTATCTGATGGGGTTTTGAGCATTCTAACACTTCCTAAGTGTACATGCAACCCTAATAACCTTGAATCTATGTTTTCTCTATATACATGCAAATTTCTTTTTTTCAAGGTTATTTCCTAACTAGCATGGCATGGGGATTACATAAAACATAAAAACTAGTAGAAATACATACCTTGTTGTTGCTTGGATTCCTTCAAGACTTTGTGAGCCTAGCACCCCAAATGTTGTGCCTCAAATGCTTCACACAACACCACAAGACTTGGAATAACTTGAGAGAATGTCACTTAGCCTCAAAATCGGTTATGCCCTCTCTAGTAACACTAGGTCCACTAGGTCACGATTTTGCTAGCCATAGGGTTCCTTTTATAGTGTGGTCACAATTAGGGTTTACACATGAATGCCCTTAATTGTCATGACTCTTGATTTCTCATGACCCATGGGTTTGTAACTCCATTGGACTATCCATGGAGCTCCATATGGTTATAACCAAACCCATAAACCATGGATCATTAATCCACCATAAAAGAATTGATGATTGTTATAATCAACCCTATATATTTAATTAGTCTCACTTTGATCACCAAGTTAATACTAGATTAATACTTGATCAATACTAATTAAATAATACTATTATTAATATATTAGAACTTATAATATATTAATAATCATAAGTGCCTTATTCTCTCATCTAGTCTATCCAAGTATTGCAATGCCATGCAACCCAAATGGACCATGCCGGGTCGGGTCAAGTACATACCAAATAAAGTTATGGACTTAGACACTATATCCAACAGTCTCCCACTTGGATAAGTCTAATAACTATATTTGCAAATATGACTTCAAAATCCGACTAGCAATCGTAGCTCTTTCAAAGTCTCTCGGAACTGAGATGATGATGATACGCCATTTAAGATAAGTGATCATATAATCATCTGTTCTCATGATATCAGCCGGACAAACACATGCAACATGGTCTTACTTATTGTCCAGCATTTGTTTCTCGATCTCTGATTTGTTTCGACATAGAACTAAATTGAACACATCAATTAGGTTCTGACCGGGCCCGATACATAGGTCAAAACCAAATCATCGAGGGGCCCAGATATCACTTCTATTTCTCGAAGGAACATATAAACTTCGACTGATATGCTTGTACTAACTACTAGTTGAATTATTCACAAAGGCACGTTTTATGACATCG